TAATATAGATTAGAATAGATAATATAGATCATAGACCTATATGAAAAGTTCCAGTTAATCTCTATGATTTCAACTTTACTTTGAGTAAGTTTAAGGGATATTTCATTGTGATATTCTACCATGAAGGCAACCTAGAAGTTTTGGTACATGCAATGAAGAAGATGCAAATCTTGCCTTAAATAAACTTTCCGAAAATTTTGAAGATTTTATATATGAATTCATAAAGATTAGTTAGGCTTAATAACTTCTAATTAACAAAGTCTAATTTTTTTATTTTTATTTTGCAAGCATAACTTCTTCCTTTGCCTTTTATAATACTGGTAACTTCTACACTGGATAGCAGGTAGAGTATTATATTTTTTTATATAGAGTTTTTTAGAGAGTTTAACCACCTTTATAAAGTTTGCCACTGGAAGCAAAATATTGGCAATGATCTTCCACATGAAAACAGTAATGGGTAACGCACTATACTGTGTGAGTAAAAATGCCTGATTTTGGACCATGTTGCTGGGTCAACATCCCCTTCTTTGAAGCATTTTATCTGCTACCTGTCCCTTTTCTCCCATCAGACTGCATTATAGCCTGACACTTTTCACTCTGTAAATGACAGGATAACCTGCTTTACAAACGATGACAATCTAACAAAAGAAATGAATCATCTGCACGACAATTAAATCAGCTTTTCACAACACAAGTAATTTCATGACCCAAATCTGATGGTAATTTGATTAACAATACAGGCTATATGCGTCAGTGGAAATTAGCAATGTCTTAGGTATTGGCTGCTTTAAATTTTGTTCTTACAACTGAAATCTGCACTAAAAATAGGCTATTAATTGACTGATTGATAGAATTTGAAAAAAAAACAAAAAACTGTTAAAGGAAAACCAGGACAATTGGGATCTGAATGTTTCATGGAATGCAGAGATAGGTAGCTTAGGTACCAGAAGCAGCCTAACTGGACCCCTCCAGAGATTTACTTTGTGTCCTGGTCAAATAAGTTAACTTGCTGAGCATGCTGCTGCTGAAGCTATCAGATTAGTACCATTTCTTAAGCTCCACGGAGAAATCTCTGAGATAAATAATTTGAAATTTATAAAATGGAATAACCTAGCAACAGATTTTCCTTGATAGATTTATATGGTATTACAGTAAGAAAAAGCTTATATCACATAAGAATGTCTAAATTTCTGTAGGTATCTGGTGTCTGCTTTAGAATTTCATCTTCTAGATGCATTAAAATAATTTAGCGTCAGTAGTACAATACTATGTACTAAGGGACAAAGCATGGAGTTCCAGTTACATTAAGGATGTGAATAGTCTACCTTAGAAGTTCACCTTTTAGTTACATTAAAACAGTTTATTTTACTCTAGTCCTCATTTTTATTTTTCTGAAAGATAGATCTCAACTTATCTGACAGGCTGGATGAAATTTTTGGTTTTATTTGTACATTTACATTTAGGCCTCACCTCATGACGCAGTGAGCAGCTGTAAGAATCCACTGATTGCTGATGATAGAGCCCCCGCAGAGGTGTCTCTGACGAGACAGCTTCACATGCAAGCTGACTTGCCATGGCCATTCACCAGGAGAAGAGTCTGTCCCTCCAACGATCCTAATAGTTCTTGCAGAATGCTGCATACACACTATAGAAATAATTTAAAATTGTGCTTAAAGACAATTTGCACTCACCGATGAAAAATGAAGATGAGACTACTGCTGATCCCTGAACAGGGACCGATCTATTGCAAAGAAAGTGATACGTGATACATTCCAATCCCTTTATGATTTATTATCATGAAGTCTATTAAACCAAGCTCGCAGTGCTACTCTTGGCATTTACAATGTGCAGACCTGGCCGACTTCACTTTTTCAGAACACTAACTTCACAAAGCATCCCATTGGGACAATGCAACCAATTCAATGCAACCAATTGAAAAAAAAAAAAAGGCGGCTTTGGCTTCCTGTACTGAAATCAGTTAAGCACTGTCTCTTTTACGTGAAAGAAGGTTTACTTACCAGTACTGGCTTTTTTTTTACATAATCTTAGTGAGTATCCAGAGATCCTTCCTGGCCCATGTACTATTTCCACTGGGGATCCATTTGAGGACATTCTTAGGTGACACTCACACTTTCTGCCAATGAATTAATGCAGAGATTCAGTTTGTACTTTTTTTATGCAGAACACATACATTACCCCTTGTCCAAGTCTGCGGAATGATTATTTCAACAATCTTTGAACATTTTAAAAAAATATATCTCACCTTTCCTCATTGCATGAATCTTGGAGGGGAAAGTAGGTAAAAAATTGGCAGCGGATCACATCTGTGCAAACCTGCTGACAGGCTCTGTGTCCTTTAGTATAAGTGACATTGAGTTCATCTCCCAAAAAATTCATATGCATGTAAGTGCGAGAATTGCAGGCTGTAAGAATGAGTGCATTCCAAGCATCAGAAAGTCTGTTAATTTGATCAGTTCAAAATTAGTGTTTTTAATGTAATTTATTGTTTACCAGGAAAGGATTTTCTGCAATTTAGGAGACCAAAGCCTGATACAGCATTTTCTCGTGATATAAGTGCCTCTGGTATCCCACTTATTGATGTCTTCAGAAGGCAAAGATTTCTAAAATGAAAAATTTTTTACAATAACTAAATCTGTGCTCACATCTAAAATTGATTGTTTAGGTACTGGTAAGGGAAGGTTCTTTCTTAAATGTGTTTTTTCTTCCAAGTCTCTATCTATAAAAGTATTTCATATAAAAATGCATTCACTAAGTTCACTAGTTCACACTAAATTGAGGGGGCTTTTGTAGTTTTGTGAAGTGGCATATGACTGTACTACTAAAGGTTGTACAGTATTTATACATAGGTAGAAGAGGTGACTTTCAATGATATATGCCATCTCAGCTTTGCTTCTCCCTGAAATTCCTTTGAAATTTTATTCTTCTCTTTTGTGTGGAATGTAGGTCTTTAACTATTCTCACTACTAAGTATAGAAGAAGGAAGCTCAATAGAAACATTTTTAAACCTGTTACCTTTATCAAAAATCTTTTCAAGTAACTAACTTAATACTGCTAGGAAACCAGATGACTCTCTTGATAATTTCATAAAATTCAGTTTTAAGTCATTAGAGCAATCTGGAGGCTCACTGTCTCTTTGATGTGTATAACACTTCAGATTAACACCAGATATGCAGCTGCAATACAAAACCCCTGATCACAATGGAGAACAGATGAAATGCCCACAGGAAATTATAAACTTACGAATACAAAAAATAAAAAGCTATGCTTTACTGAAAATAACCTTTTAACAAAAATTTCCATAAGTCTAAGAAAATAGTGGTTAAAAAAAGACTGTGTGCTTTTTTAAAAAAAAAAAAAAATCTACTTAGAGAATTAAAGTTAGTTGTCATATTCACCTTTGGGATTCTATTTGCCATTCCCTGGTAAAGAATGTAAAGAACAAGCACTTTGGAAAATATGTGCAAATAGTTTGGCAGACAGAGATATCAGGAGTCAAAAAACTTGTAATATTCATTCCTGAAAATTCTTGATCTTCAAAAATGTCCATTTGACAATCTGTATGAAACAAGAACAAAATACCAAAATTCCAAACATTTTATTATGTCGTCAGAATATAAGGTTTATAGATAATTCATTTCTATCCTTATTCACATTTTCCTTCCTTTGTGACTGATATAACTGGAAAGGTAGCACCACATTTTAACCAAAAACTAGTTCTCAAGAACTCATGGAGAGGACTACTGAGCAGGGATAAGGTTCATATAGAGAAGACAACAAATGACATGTTAGAATACAGATTTGCTAATCTAATAGAGAAGGCTTTAAATTAGGAACAGTGAAGATCAGTGTACAAATCCACAGTTAGGAATAAATCATGGTAATCTAGGTAAAGATTAAATAATTAAGGTAATAGGCATATCTTAGAGGATCGTGGGAAGACTAAAAGAAAAATAATGGGATGATCCTCTTAACACTTTATTAAATGTTATTTGAAAAGTAGGCAGAATAAGCAGGAGTAATGTACAGTCTGCCCTCTGACATGACCAAAATAACATAACAGAAGCTTGGCAGGATAATTCACAGAACCAGACTATGTATATAGAAGTTATTTGCATGTTTAGAAAGAGAAGAATGAGTTGCCTTCTCCAAAGATACTCTTGAAGTCCTACTGAAAATCCCAGAGCCACAATAAAAAGAGGAAAAAGGGAAGCACTGGCATGGAGCGTGTTTCTGGAAACTATCAGGCTGTAAAGACAATAAAAACAGTGAAATGATCCAAAACACAGGACTTGGTGGTAGCAGAGAATTTCAGCTATTGAGAAAGTACAGCAGCCAAGTCAACACTACCCAATGAGTTATAGAAACATACTGAGAACCTCTTACTACAGAAACGGAAAAACAGTAAAAGGGAGAGGTAGAGCTTAATGTTAATTTGACGAGGTTTTAAAAAAACATAAGCAGGAAAGGAAGCCTACAGAGGGTAGAAGCAAGGACAGGTAGCCTGGGAGAGATACAGAGAAATTGTCCAAGAAGCCAGGGATCAGGTTAGGAAAGCTAAAGCCCTGTTAGAATTAAATCTGGCCAGGGACATCAAGGGCAACAAGAAAAGCTTCTATAGCTATGTCGGGGATCAAAGGAAGACTACAGAAAATGTGGGCCCTCTCTGGAAGAAAACGGGAGACCTGGTTACCCGGGATATGGAGAAGGCTGAGGTACTCCATGACTTTTTTGCCTCAGTCTTCACCAGCAAGTGCTCAAGCCTCACTGCGGGAGCCACAGAAGGCAAAGGCAGGGACTGGGAGAATGAAGAGCCACCCACTGTAGAAGATCAGGTTCGAGACCATCTAAGGAACCTGAAGGTGCACAAGTCCATGGGACCTGGTAAGATCCATCCGTGGGTCCTGAGGGAACAATTTTAAGTGTATACACAGTATACAAATGGAATTTAGAAAGCTTTATATTCCTCCTGATCTTTGATCTTGATGGGATTTTATCTTTCATTTTTGCATCCATGGTACAAAAATAACATGCAATTTCATCAAGCTAATCTTACGAAAGGATTCTTTAGATCTTCAAAGTAGGCAACTGTTTTTGTAAGACAAATGATAAAATGGAAAAATTAGAAAGATCTGAACCTCCTTTGTGCCTGAGAGTACTAACTATCTTTGCAAGAATAAGTTTATATTAGAATTATTTTACATAATGAAACATTTATACATATCAGAGATAGACTGCACCTCGTCATCCATAACCCTTAAAACTAAACTGAATCAGAGATTTTAAATAGTTACCTATTTCAGAAAGCTGGCATGGCTTTAAAGAGAATCCAGACACAACCTCGTCAAGCACCTTTATGCTGGTTGGAGTTCCTACACTGGTATGTTTCAAGAAGCATTTTTTACTGAGTGACAAAGAATAAAGAAAGTGGTAAGACAACAGGCCATCTTCCTTGGTCCCATAATTCCTACCATGGTGCATGTTCTGGCCATGGGGCAGAGCAATCTCCAATCTCCAGAACAATCTTCAAATAAGGAACAGAGCTAACTGAACAACGTTCAACTGGTAAAATTGAGCAGTCTAACAGCTCAAAAATAGGCCTGATAAAAATGAAAGAATTTCTCTGGATGCTCTGATAATGCTATTTTCAGAGCAATAAGCAGAGCAAGATTTAACAGAGCAATAATGCTGCATACCTACCAATATAATTTGCATTTCAATACCTCCAGAGGATTTTCATTTTTTTCAGTGCTATGATGGACAAATGAAAGCCAATTTACTAGAGACATTTTCCTATCTGTAAGTTTGAATAAACATTGTAAGGATGACAAATCAAGGAAAAATTACTTCCTGGAATAAATTCTCGCACCTTAGACCGCTCTGAGATTTACTCTACTAAAGCGCAGCACTGTCCAAGGAAAGGGATCAAACCTGTATTTACCAAGGAAAGGGATCAAACCTGTATTTACCGAAAGCTTGCATTGTGAAATGTTTCTGAGGCATATGTAAAAAAATGACAATGGTTTTCGTTGGTACATCTTTTTTGGCACTGCTGATAGCTGTCAGCCATAGTAACATCATAAATTTTCCCTTCCATATCCAGTCCTATGTGGACATCTGGGCTGCAAGCTGTGAAAAAAGAAAGACCAAGTTCTGAAAACATGCTTCTATTCTTTTCCCCACCCTGCACCCCAAACTGCCCAAAAGATAGCAGCTCGTATGACAGAGCCCTCATAACCCAGATTCCACGTCCCATGCTCACTTCACTTACATCATACTTCACACGTAACAAAATCAGAAGCATAGGTATAGTATAGTACCGCATGGCAGAAGAAAAAACTGGCAGACTTTGACAGTGCCTCTGCCTACACGAGAGAGGAGCTCTAACCACTATGGCTGAGACCATGATGACATTAATCAAAGCAAGAACTCAGGATTAACACTGAAACATACTTTCCCATTTCCAAATTCATAGAGCAGTTTAAAAGGCAAATTCTGTCCTCAGAAGCAACAGACATCTCCCATTTGAGTCAGAGATTTAGAGAACTGGGACTGTGGGGTTTGAAATAGCTTTCCCCCATGCAGGATGCAGGTTTTGCCTCACGGTCAGTGGGGTCTCTTCGCAGAACATGAGTCAGCCAACCATTGGTGGGGTTTTTAAACATATATGGGTGGATTTTCTTTTCAGACATTAGTCTGATTCTAGAGTAATTCCAGTGATATCAATTAGTCTACACAGCATAAAGAACAACATCCCACTGAAATCTATTTTGCTGGGCCAAAGCTACTCAGAAACATAAATGCAACAGGACGTTGGCAGGAAAGGGCTTTTAAAAGTCCTGACTGCTCTGAAAGGCAAGTGGCAAGCAAAAGCAAGCACAACTGATTTGTTAATAGCTGCAGTAGAGAACTTGCGTAAAGTAAGACCCATTTAGCCCTGCCATATTGAGGTGCTATACCAATAAAACTAAAGAGTTAGCCTGACATCCATAAGACTCTCTTCGGCCTCAAAGTCAGGAAGTGAATAAATATATTCTTCCTTATTCTGTTTTTCTGCAGTACCATGCTATGCTTAAAGCTGATCTCCTCTTAATTACATCATTATGATGGTACAGGTTTAAAACATATTTAAAACAACACATTTAATAGGGTTTAAATATGCCTGCTGATAACTCACAGGTATGGCATGTGGACACTAAGACTCTGTGCATAGCCCACATACATACACTAGAAGATAGGGCTGCTAATAAATTATTACACAGAATCATGAAGGTAGCACCATCACTTTGTGACTATGCACATCTGCTTTGCTGGGCACCTGCTCTACAAAGTTGTAAAGCAGGGTCACACACATCGTACGAGCAGCTTGCTGGAGTGGAATTGTAATAGTAAATTAATCTTTAGAACTGGAGCTACCAGTTAAAGCATGTGCTCCCATCTGCCTCTAGCAAATGAAACAGTGACTGCAGGAGCATAATTTCCCTGTTAGCTCGTCTGGGGAGCCTCGGTGATGGATAGTTGGGGCTGAAGGGTGAAAACCAGTGGAAGATTTTGTAAGCTGTGTTTAAAAGAGATCTGGCAAAGAACATACAAATCACTGCTTGGCTGCTTCCCTGATTCTATTCCTGGTTTCGAAATGTTAATTTTCTAACATCTGCTACATGATACAGGGCATAAAATGCATATATGTGAACAACCGTATCTTACCACTAATTTGGATGTTACACTGTTTTAAGGAATGTCCAGAGACAGCTCCTTCCATATCCACTTTCGGCAGCATTTCTGTATCGCTGTCTTTTAAGTAGCAGGAAAACCTGTGGTTTAAAATGAAGCAATTCACAGCTTTTGCAGTACAACAGAGACTTTCATAATTGTTTCACAGGTGAAATGCAGGCCGTCCAATATCCCTCAACATTAAAATTTAGACAACAAGTGCAACTTGGAGAAAGATCGGGTAGAGCTGCATCTGCTTTGTTGCCACTGGTGGCAGATGAGATTACTTGGTGTATGTGGGAGCTCCAAGAGGTCTCATTAAAGCAAGAAGCAGAGCCCAGGGTTTGGAGGACAGAAACGCAGTGGGTATAGAGAGGGAGGACAACCTCATCCTCTCAGGCTACTGAAGTTCTTAATTGTTAGACAAATATGCTAAAGAGAGAGGAGGACAGTAGAGGGGACCACTGGAGTTGTGAAATTGCTCACATTGTCCCTCAACAATAAATATGTGGCACAGAGGAGGGAGTCAGTTCTGTTTCCTTGAAAGGGTTGGTATGCAAGTGTGAAAGATTGCGCATTACCAAATTTCATCTTTCAAATTTAAGCAATTACTCTTTTAGATCACCAGTTTTAAAGATACATGACGTTGTTTTCCATGGCAATCCTATCGCTTTCCCTGTATGCCTGTGTTCTGTCAAAATGTTACCAAGTTCCTAAAAGTATCACAGGAGACCAGCAAAAGCCACATGAACATGAACATTTTACCTTTTTGCAGGATCTTTAGTCCATGCCGCTGGCAAATAGGTGAAGAGCAGACAGGTAGGATGGTAAGTACACACTACTTGGCAGTAATTGGCACTTGGTGTAATAACCGTAGTGAGGTCTCCTCCTTGGAAGTATGTATTTTCATAGATTTGAGTCACACATTCTGATATGGAATAACAAAATGCGTAAATTATTAGAGATGGGAGCGCACACAGTTTACCAGGAGAGGGTGAAGCCACTGCTCCTCTTTGCCATTGGCCTTGCTTTTAATACAGTCCTTTGGCAGGAGAAGAGGGTGAGGGGGGTGAGTAGCACAGTTCCTCCGAGAGTCTCGTCTTTGCTCTCCAGCAGAAATAAAACTCTCTGGGGTGTCTCCCCGCCGTTCCCTGCCTCGTACCCGATGCTGGAGCAGGGCGGCTTGAGCCGAGGCAGAAGCCCGAGCTGCAGGATGGGCCACAAGGCAGATCTGCACAGCAGAGAGGGAAGGGACTTTCTCAGGGCAGATCTCAGGAGCGGCAGAAGCATCTGCTGAGAGAGACCAGTACGGAGCACCATTAAGAGGAAAACAGGAGAAGGAAGTGCAGAGACCAAAAAGAGTTAGAAAGTTGTATGTGAAGACAGTTCTATTTTGTTTAGGGATGCTCCAAGGCCAGAGTCACAGGCAGTGCCACTGTTCATAGCTTCAATGGCTCCCAGAATGTTATAAACCTTCTCCTCCCTCACACTGCACCTTGAACCCCCTCTGACTTGCTTTACAATGAAGAAAATACTGTTGCAGGAGTAGTGTCTCAAGAACTGTCCAAAGTAAAAATGAGCTCAACTACCGCCTCGCATCTGCAGGAATTCATCATCAATCTCATATTGAACTCTGTAATGAAACCCACTCACGCTGCAGAGCTGTGCAACGAAGATACCTAAGCAGCAACCTGTTCCCATCCTTCAAAATGAAGGCATTTGTAAGATCTCCGTGTTAAAACACACAAGACGGATGGCTTTGCAGATGGGCTCACTCTCTTCTTGTATTTTGCTCTGCAAAGGGGTAGCAAATCGGCAAATACGCTGATTTTTATTCCTGTATCTACAAAAGTGCTTTTTCTTAGCTAAAAGATAAAGAGAAAATACTGTATTTTTACAGAATGGGAGGAAACCCAACTGAAAACATTTCATCTATCTGCTTAATCTGTTACTATAGAGCTATCGTGCTGTATCAAAGTCTATTTAAAATGAAAACAAGTGGAACAATCATATTGGATTTTACAGTTTTGAAATATTACAAGTCGATTGTATTTGTTAATGTGATTATAAACTATACTTAGGTAATTCTATGTTTCCTGCACATGGGTAAAATATATAATTTACCCAAAAAAAGGAAAAAGTAAGGAATTATTAGATACATGTGCAAGATATGCTAATATCTTTTAAAGGTTAATTTCTTGTTAATACAAAATTTGTACTTTATAAACATCCAAATTTTCTGGTACGTATACTTTCAAGATCTTTCTCTAAAAATTGGTATTTATTATTCTCAGTAGAGTTTCTCCGCCCAACTTTGTCATTAACAGAAAAACATTTTCTATTACTTAGAACACTCTAAGCGAATTCTAAAGTCAAAAAAAAAGAATATTGCAATTATTTGTTGTATTAGACATTTTGGATCTTATTTACCTTCTTCTAGTGTAAATTAACACCCACAAAAAAATTGATTTGTGCTGTAAAACTATGTACCATGTAAAACTATGCCTAAACTATTCAAAACTAAGTTCTGAATACTTTAATAAAAATACGTTTCTGAGGCCTCAGAAATGTTCCAAGATTTTAGTTTTGCTGAGATTTCAATCCATGTAAAATTTTCCTTAAATAATACTACATTTATCAAACAGATTTTGCTAAAAAGCTGAGTTACCTAATTGTCCTCCGAGAAAACAGTTAATAAATTACTGAGCGTAAACCTGTGTTAGGTCTTAGTTATAATTTATCAGCACAGGGAACTTCAGGGAAATGCAATGCAATTTTTCTAGTTTGACTTTTGCTCACTGAACAAGGTAAATCATTAACACAGACCGACATTGAAAAACATACACAATCACTAATTTTCCAGCCTATCAAGAGAGTTCTAAAAAACAATTTATGTAAACCAATTGGTTCTGGAGTTATTCACACTTATTGCAATAGTCTTGCAAGCATGATGGTACGCGGGTGTTCCACAGGTACTTTTTAAATCGGTAATTTCCCGCAAAGGCAATGTGTAATAAGACAGAAGGTTGGTGGGGTTTGTTTATTTAAAAACAATAAAAAAAGATGTTGGCTCTGAAGCTCAGCTGCTGTCCCCAGTGAGGCTGCCGGGCTGGGTGGCCATCAGTGCTGCCTCCTGCCCCCCGGGCAGCGCCAGGGGAACGGGCTGAGGCTCCTCCGCAGCCGGGAAGGGGCGGCCAGCTCCCCCCAGCGCTGCCGGATCGAGCCTCCGGCAGCCAGCACGCCTTGCTGCTAACTTTAGAGAGCTCAGATTCGTGCTGGGGGGAACCAGGTTGGAGCACAGTCAGCCGAGAAGCACGGGGCGCCACTCCGCCTCCTGCACCCACCATCAACCGCAACGGGCTCCCTTCCCAAGCTGCTGCTAAAGCTGCTAACCCGGCTGTTGGGTGTAGGGTGCTGAACATCACGCCGATCTCACGGTTGCGAGCTGGATGCAGCCTCAGTCCGATAGAGAAAACTGCCCGTAGCGTGGTCCCGTGCACGGTGACGGCACGGTGTGGTGGCAGGACAATGTCAGTAAAGCCCCGTTAGAAAGTTCCACGTCAGGCAATAGAGTTATGTGAGTTACCCAAACCTAACTGAGTGCCACCCAGCAGAATCAAGACAGCTCTCTGGGGACCAGACTGCAGTTACTAATCATCTCCCCTTCTAGAAGAGTTGCGTTACTCTGTGTGCCTATCTTAGGAATTGTATATTCACTTACCACTGTAAACGGAAGCAAGTAAGAAAATGAAATAAAAAGTCTGATAAATCCAAATCATCCTAAAAAACACAAAATCATTCTTTAGGATATGTTTCATAAAGGATGTATAATTAGTTTTATAAAGTACCGCAAGGCATATCACTGATATACACTTGTACTGTTACAAGTACTATTAATTCAAAATGACATTGAGAATTACAAATTACAGCTGTGATATGCAGTTATGGCATATGTAAAGTATCATAAAAGAGCAACAAAGGTTTGTCCTTTACTTGTGGTTGCAAGAAGCAATAAAGCTGATAAGCACTTAGAGAATATCTGCTTCGTTTTACAGCAGAATATTTATTCTTGCTTAGACTGGGAGCAATATTCCATCAAAACGTCACTATTAATCCTGACTCTGTCCTCGTATTTAAGTGGATGCTATTATCAATGTAGCAAACAAATGACTCACACTCACTGCTTCTGGTATGTGTTATATGAATTTTAAACCTTTTTTTTTTTTTTTTTTTCACATGCTATAACTTAAGCTGTGAAAGAATCAAATAAATTAACCACACAACACAATCCATAAATTGATCAACATACACTGCCTTGTTGCTATGAAAACCTTTCACTGAATATCAGCTGCAATAATGATTACATACCTGAACATACAGTAGGTCTGGATGAATGGATAAAGCTTATGCTCTACTGAAGAAAAAAAAAAAAAAAGTCAACAGTTTGTGTTAAATATTACTGTGCCTGCAATGCTAACTTATCTTTAATATTTACTTTGAATGGGTACTCTTTCTGTCAATATTGTTACTGACCTTGGACCACATTTTCAGTGCATACATCATCCAGACTGCACTGAAATCGATGTCCAGGTTTTACACCAGCTGAGCATCTGTTTCTTGTCAACATTTTAAAATAAAAGGCGAATCCCTGGTTCAGAACAGCAGAGTTCCTGCTGCTAGCACAAGAACTTACATAAACAGGGAATGAGATTCGTCTCAAGAGTAAATCCTGAGCTGGGGCAGGAGGGGAAATCCACGTGAAAACAGTAAGACTAGTGACTCAGACCCAAGCAAATGACACCGTTATGAAACTATTGTAACTGAGGACAGAATCGTCACCTACGTTTTCTTACTATTACACCATTTTCTTGAGGCATTCCCTTGCCAAATAGAGACAGCTCTATTCTTCAGCTATGTATTCTGTGCTCTGTTTTCTTTAACATCATCTCAAGTTCTTACTCCTCCTTTTCAATACTCTGCAGAAATTATCCTGCCTACATCTTTCAAGCAGTTTTACTGTGGCCCTTTCTACACTCCTGTTATGTTGTTAGATGCAATGAAGAGCACCTTCAGTTTGCCGGAAGCCAGAAAAAAAACCCAAACCTGTTTGCAGATATATGAAATGTAAATGCAACAACAAGAAGTACAAACTTAATTTATAGCTGACCTGAATCACTTGTTTTGATTTCTACAACTCCTTTTAACATTTATAACCAAAGCAAAATAAATTTCAAACAAAAAAAAAAAATCTTTCAAATCTTAAAAAAAAAGATGTTTTGTTTCATAGTGAAATTGCCAAAGGGACAACTCTTCCCTCCTCCCCACTCTTTTTCTCTTTTCTTTTAAACCGAATATGCTGGAAAGACAGATACATATGCTCTACTCAAAAAACATCTAGATCAAAAAGTTTCACCCAGCTGTGACCCATATGAGTATCCTGATGATTGAAATGACTTCTCCATGCCTTGTGGGCCAGCAAGGTCTCCAACTCCTCCTCACAGAGGAAGAACTGTTTCAAAGAAAGTCTCCATACTGTCCTGTGTATCAACTTGCTCTGCCCTGACATGCTTTTAAGGAGAGGACTCAAATGTTTTCAGTACAGCAGCTTTCATTTTTATGTGCTCTTTTCTGTTTTAAGTGTGTAACAGTGACAAGGGAGAGTGCCAGAAGGCTTTACTGCAAAACATATTGATAGTTTATTCCTGTAACATGAAGTGTTTTGAGACTAAGATGCCTGTACCCCTCTGACCTTCAGCTCAGAAGAGGAGATTTTCCATCGGCCACGGGGTGTAGAGGTATCATGGGAGTACACCTCGGTGAAAGTATACCACACCATCTCCAGCCAACGCCACTGAAGCCTTTCTGTGTAACCACAGGTATGTCACTTAGCCTCTCTCTTTTCATCTATAAAATGATAATAATCTTTTACACCTCTGGAAAAATTATCACCTTTACTTCAAAATACAGAATTCATAATCCTGAGAGTAATCACAAAACCTACCGTGTATCTGAATGTTTATAAAAAAAGCAAGCTGAACTTAAAAGTTTTTGTGTTGCTCAACCTGCACTCGTATTCAATTAAAATAATTGTTTCTTTTTTTTTTTTTTTTTTTTTTGGTGTGCATTTCACTTGGTGGCACAAAGGCATTAGAACTTCTCTCCAAGGACTTTTAATTTCTTCACTTTTCATTTCCCATCTGGGCTTTCCAGCTCAGATATTGGGCAGTGTTATTCCAGTTCATTACTGTCTTACTAAAGAACAAAACAAAACCAAACCCAAAAACCTCCAACCCCACACTTTTGGAAAAATAAAGTATGCAGTTCAAATCAGCAGATAAAACAGGGCAGATTCATCATAAATTTCACCAAGATCATGTGTCTCATCATACAGTATGCAGTCATACCCATCCATCAGAAGCTTCTGTAAGATTTCATTTCTATAATCCATTATCTCTATTTTAGAAATAGGAAAAGGAATCTTCTGGTGATGGCTGTTTGTTTCATAAGCAAACTAGTGGAAAAAAAAGAAAAAAAGACTTTCTTAAAGCAGCAGTTCTCAAATTTAGATATCACACTCCTTCCAAAAGCATACATCATTTTAACCACATCTATATGGGCATTAGTTGGATTTGATGATGAAGCTGAGAAATAAGGCAGCAATGCTATTGACAGAGAATCATAATGAGCACGCTCGCTTTGGAAAATAAATGCATTTTCTTTCAGTGGGCCTGCTACTCACATGACTAATGCTCCCCTGTTTGCATCACTGCACTGTTGCTCAAATCAACAGTTGTACTTCTTTACAGAGAAAAGAACGTTACGAACTCTATGTTCCTGAATGAATTATTGTTTATTATATTACAGGACATTTATTACAGGACAAATTATAAAATACGCTGAGACAAATTCTCAGCTGGTACCAGTTCACTGAGCTGCACTGAAATCCAAAGAGATTACATGATTTAAAGTAGGAAAAGAGCTAGAAATTCAAAGTGCATGGAATACCAAAACCATCTAACACTCCTTAGGCTCATAAAAGCTCCACACGGAAGGTTACTGTTGTCTGAATTCCCTCATTGTATCCATTTAGCTATCAATAATATTCTGGCAACTAAATCAGGATATTGTAATTAAGATTTAGTAATTCAGATGGCAGGGTTAAAAGAAGAGCTCATCAAAACATTTTGATAAAATGGAAACATCTTTTGATGATACAAGTACAAAATTTAGGTGAATCATCTGAAACAAAATGGAGTGCTTGTGTCTGTTCTGACTCTGTTCCATTTTGACTTGGTATTTTAAAAAAAACAAAAGCTGCTTCAGCCTAAGCTGTCAGCAAGTTCTTTAAGATGAAATCTCCCTGGCAGTGCAATTGCCTACTAGCTTGAAACTGCTTTCTGCTGATTTCCACCGTGATTTATGCAAAATCTCATTCATCCGCAGAGGTGGCAGGAATTACTGAATTGTTTCACCTCAGGAAATGAATGACTGGACACTACTTTAGTCTGATTTAGGTCTAATACTACCTGCCAAAACAAAATCCCACATTTCTTATGGCAAACCTATTCAAAAAGTAGCTTCAACATGGGAGAGGATCTACTCTCTGTGATGAGACACCCGCCAGTTGTGACATGGAACAAGAAGAGGAGCATCTCAGAGGGAATGAGGGAAGGAAGGTATCAGTAAGACAAGAACAACACAAGTTCTCATTTCAATATGGCTTTGTGGACATCCTTCCATCTGAATGAGGATGCTATAATATCATGGTTCTGAATGCTCCAGTAGAAAAAAACCCAAATATTCTAATCTCTGCGTATCTTTAATTCTGCATTGTTATCATTATGTATATGACAAAGGACAGAAGTGTAATACCAAATGCTGCTAAAACAAGTTCTAAAAATTAAATCTTGATCTTTCCTTCTTACAGTGAACAATCTGGAGCCTTTTCATCTGATGACATTAGCTGAGTGAAGAATCTACTCTCTCACTAGGCCAAAGTCTTCTTGTGTTTGACTTGATTCCACCCAAAATGGCTGCAAAAAGATGGCTAGAATAACTTATTCACTGATTTGTGGAAAGTGCTGTATTGTATATTGTTTTGAAATAAAAGCAGTTAGTACTTCCATATCCTGCAATTACATGTCAGCAAGTCTTCCTAGAAATACAGCCCAGAAATAACTGCACATCAGATGTCAAGTAAGAAATCAATGCAGACCAAATTCAGGATCATAGAAAAAATAAAAGACAGTTGCAAATATTAAACAACAAATCACTACTGGGTTTGTTTTGTAAGAGGGCTTCTTTGGGTTTTTGGGGTTTTTTTTCTTACAAATAGATTCGATTTTTTCTTATAAATGGAGAATCACATAACTGCCGAAGGCCTTGCTTCTTGCAGCTAAAACACCTGATGCTGGTTGTTGTTATACATTAGAGAAGACAGAATGTTTCAACATACTGAAGAGTTCTAATGTCTTGACCAGGCCCTGTAAATTGTCAAACAGTAACTCTTGAACAAGTTATATGTGTCCTTGAACTACTAGCCTGAAGCCAGGTCTGGAGGTTTGGGCATACATTTTTTCCTAAGTGACTGCCTCTCTTCACTCAAAATAATTTGCATTTTCAATGAACACTTTCCATCTCCACAAGCTACACTGCAGGCATGGATCAGAAAAGCCCATTTGTTAAGCAAAAGATGGAGTTTTACTTAGCAGAGAACTAATATTTTCAGAAGAATCTCAGCTTTTTTTTTTAATTTTTTTTTTTAATAACTGAGTTACTT